ATCCTATACAAACCATTAGGGTCTGGAACAACCACCAGAATGACAGAGAAATGTGAGGAGACCTCATCAGGACAGAAATCACAATTTTAAGGCAAATACATGTTTTTGGAAAATTAATCGTATGCAACATTGAGTTCATGAAATTGAGGAGGTCTAAAAGTAGGGTGACCAACCATCCTGGCTTGAGAAGGACTGACAGATATTTTCTAGGGTGCAGGACCTTCAGTGCTAAGACTGGGGAAGTTTCAGAAAATGCACTGATAATGGAAATATAAAGTATACTCAGAAATGTGTTGATCATCTTATCTAAAAGACAGTGACAGATTGTGGAGGTCATCTCCAAAGATGGTTTCCCAATAAATCATACCTTCCTGAATCTGTGACTCTGTGTAATCCCATCCCCTTGAATCTGGGCTGACCTGTGTCTTTTACTTTTTCAAGACAGGGTCTCACTCTGTCACCCAAACTGGAGTGCAGTGGCATGACCATGTCTCACTGAAACCTCAACTTCATTGGGCTCAGGTGATTCTCCCACTGCAGCCTCCCAAGTAGCTGAGACCGTAGAGGTATGCCACCATGCCTGGCTAATTTTTGTATATATATATATATTTTTTTTAGAGACAGGATCTCATCATGTTGTCCAGGCTGGTCTTGAACTCCTGGGCTCAAGCAACCCACCTGCCTCAGCCTGCCAAAGTGTTGGCATTCTGAGTGTGTGCTACCATGTGCCACTGTGTGGCTTATTTTTGACTAACAGAATGTGACAGAAGCCATCTTGGTGTTAAATCCAAGACTAGGTCATTACAAACCTTGCAGCTTCCACCTGGGTCTCTTGCATATTTATTCTGAGGGAAGGCAGCTGCCATCTAAGGTCAACTACTTTAAAGTCACCATGCTCAAACTAACCTCACGGGGAGGCTGTGCAGAAAGAGCAAGATGCCTGAGCAGCTGCCAACTGTGCCAGCTCTCCCAGCTGAGGCACCAGATGTATTGGTGGAGAAGCCACGTGGGACGTCCAGCCTTCAGAAGATGGCAGCCACGCGAGAGACTCCAAGTGCAAACCACCAGCTGAACCCAGTTAGTCCACATAAATATGATGAAAAACAGTGGAATATTATTTTAAGCCACTCATTTTTTCTTTAAAAAAAAAAAAAAAAACTGTGGTAAGCTCATGCTGAAGGCCTAACCTATTTCCTAACCTATGCACTGGAGACTTCTTCCTTACTCCTCTGCCTAGGGGAATGTGCCCAGGCTCAGCAGAGTGCCCTGGGCACTGCTTCCCATGGCAAAGCCCACCCAGAAGCATATGTCCTGCTCTTCTAGTTATGCAGACACCAAAAGCTCAAAGGGGCAGCAGAAAAATACAATAGAAGGTAAGGCTGTTCTGGGTAATTCAGTTAATGAAGCTCCCTTTGGAGGATTTCATTTTTCCATGTTAAATGCACTATTTTTTCCTTCTGAGATACCTCTTTTCCGCAGGAGAATCCTACCATCATCATTTCCTATTTGAGTTCCATGAGCTTCTACCTAGAGGCAAAATGGAAATGGGAATTTTATAATGAAGGAAGCAGACGTGGAGAAGAATCTGCCATCTTCCTAACAAGGCAGTAAGAAGCACCGGAAATCTCAGAGAGCTGCTCATAACAAGCATGCTCATTCTCAGCACAGCTGCTCTTTTACAAATTGTGGTCACATAAACAATGTAAAATTTACCATGGTAACCATTTTAAAGTGTACTGTTCCGTGGCGTAAAGTACATTCACATTGTTGTGCAACCATCATCACCATCTGTTTTCATAACATTTTCATCTTCCCAAACTGAAACTCTGTACCTTTCAAACATTAACTGCCCTTTCCTCTTTCCCGAGTCCCTGGCCACCACAGTCTACTTTCTACCTCTGAGAGTTTGATTCTCTTGGGTACCCTATAAAGTGGAATCACACATGATTTGTCCTCTTGTGCCTGGCTTACTTTACTTAGCATAGTGTCTTCAAGGTCCATCCATGTCGTAGCATGTGATGGGATGTCCTTCCTTGTTAAGGCTGAATCATATTTCATTGTATGGATGGACCACGTTTTGGTTAGCCACTCGTCTGTTATTGGACACTGGGTTGCTTCCACCTGGTGGCTATTGTGAATAATGCTGCTATGAGCATGAAATGTGCAAATATCCCTTCAAGATCCTGCTTTCAGTTCAAGCCCCTGAATGTTGAGGTGGTTTGTTATGTAGCAATAGACAACCAGATGCTGAGTCACGACTAGAGCATGCCACCAACATGGTACAAGGATGATCATCACTGAAGGAGAGACGTATGTTGTCCATGTGAGTGCATGGGGTTCAGCTGGAGAGATTATTAGCTGACTTAGTGTCACGAGGACCTCTGCTTTGAAGTGGAAGCTCTCACTTCCCTGGGTGCTCAGGAGAGAGGATAAGGCAGGCAGGCTGAAGAGTAGCAGCAGTTTAAAAATTGCACTCATAACTGTGTATCGGCAAAATAAAAGATTATTCTGGATTTTTACTCAGATTGGGCAGACTGCTAGCGTCTCCTCCACCAGGATGGTCCGAGAGCCAAGCTTGGAAAATCAAAAGTGATTGGATCAGCCAGTGCAGGATAGTTTATCACCATGAATGTCTAATCAAGCTTGGATATCCTCACAAGCTGGAGGGGATACATTTTCTTCTGTTGAAATTAATCAGGGCCGAGGAAGAGAAAAATAAACCATCTCTGACTTTTTGAAGCAAGTGCAACAAATAGATCAGAGAGAGGCTCCAGGCTGCATGTGGGGATTTGGAAGTAAAGCAGGTAAGCCCCGCCCTCCTGAAATTGGACCCTTGTACTGTTGATGAGGATAAGAGGTTTCCCAGCTGTTTAAAAAAAACAGTGTATAGGCCGGGTGTGGTGGCTCATGCCTGTAATACCAGCACTTTGGGAGGCTGAGGCCGGCAGATGACCTGAGATCAGGAGTTCAAGACCAGCCTGGTTCACATGGTGAAACCCCATCTCTACTAAAAATACAAAAATTAGCTGGCCATGGTGGTGTGCACCTGTAATTCCAGCTACTCGGGAGGCTGAGGCAGGAGAATCACTTGAACTCAGGAGGCAGAGGTTGCAGTGAACTGAGGTCATGCCAATTCACTCCAACCTGGGAGACAAGAGTGAAACTCAGTCTCAAAAAAAAAAAAAAGCCAAAAAACAAACAAACAAACCACAGTGTATCAGTAAAAATATTTGAGGTATACTAATACTAAGGCCAATGGAGAGGACTGCTATCAAAAAGATAGTTCCACACAGTTCCCAAGAGGAAGGTGTGCACCACACCACGGGGGCCCCACAGGGAAGCAGGAGGCAGAGTGAGACAAGGACTGTTGACAAGAGCCTGTGTGTGTGTGTGTGTGTGTGTGTGTGTGTGTGGTTTCCATGGGAAAGAACAGGAAGGCAAAGTAAATAGGCTCGGGACTGGCCAGTTTGCTGATTTCAGCAGGCCCTGGAGTATAGGGGCTGTCCCTAGTTGTCTGGTACCTGCCCTTGGTTGAATAGGGAAGGTGGATAGTGAGAGACCAGTAAAGAAGGTAGTTAAACCGGCTAGTCATGTGCAGAAAGTGAAAACTGGACCCCTTCCTTACACCTTGTACAAAAATTGACTCCAGATAGATTAAAGATTTAAACATAAGACCTAACACCATAAAAACCCTAGAAGAAAACCTAGACAATCGCATTCGGGACATAGGCATAGGCAAGGACTTCATAAATAAAACACCAAAAGCAGTGGCAACAAAAGCCAAAATAGACAAATGGGATCTAATTAAACTTAAGAGCTTCTGCACAGCAAAAGAAACTATCATCAGAGTGAACCAGTAAACAACAGAATGGGAAAAAATTTTTGCAGTCTAACCAACTGACAAAGGACTAACATCCAGAATCTACAAAGAACTAAAACAAATTTACAAGATAAACACAAAGAACCCCATCAAAAAGTGGGTGAAAAATATAAACAGACACTTTTCAAAAGAAGACCTTTATGCAGTCAACAAACATATGAAAAAATGCTCATCACCCCTGGTCATTAGAGAAATGCAAATCAAAACCATATTGAGATACCATCTCACGCCAGTTCAAATGGTGATCAATAAAAAATCAGGAGACAACAGATGCTGGAGAGGATGTGGAGAAATAGGGATGCTTTTACACTGTTGGTGGGAGTGTAAATTAGCTCAACCGTTGTGGAAGACAGTGTGGCAATTCCTCAAGGTTCTAGAACTAGAAATGCCATTTGACCCAGCAATCCCGTTACTGGGTATATATCCAAAGGATTATAAATCATTCTATTATAAAGACACATGCACACATATGTTCACTGTGGCACTGTTTACAATAGCAAAGACTTGGAACCAACCCAAATGCCCATCAATGATAGACTGGATAAAGAAAATGTGGCACATATACACCGTGGAATACTATGCAGACATAAAAAGGATGAGTTCATGTCCTTTGTAGGGACATGGATGAATCTGGAAGCCATCATTCTCAGCAAACTGACACAAGAACAGAAAACCAAATACCACATGTTCTCATTCATAGGTGGGTGTTGAACAATGAGAACACATGGACACAGGGAGGGGTCTGTTGGGGGGTCGGGGGCTAGGGGAGGGATAGCAGTGGGTGGGGAGATTGTGGAGGGATAACATTAGGAGAAATACCTAATGTAGGTGACAGGGGGATGGAGGCAGCAAACCACCATGGCATGCCTACATAACAATCCTGCAAGATGTGCACATGTACCCCAGAACTTAAAATATAATAATAATTTTTTTAAAAGGAGGTAGTTGGGGTGTGGGCTCTGGATTGGTTGGTTTGTATTTGAAAAGTGCACCCCTGGGAGAAGGAGGACTCCTGAGGAATGGGGGCTGGCAGAGAGGAGGCGACAAGGGAGGCCTGAGGCTGGAGCAAAGCATATTGTTAGGTTTTCCAGATCAAGGAGTGTCTGATATATGCATGTAGGACAGGTGTTAAAACATCGACTTTATAGATGCCAGAAGCTTGGTCAATACATTTGACCCTGTGATATTTTAACATCAAACTAAGGCACCTTTGCAGTGATGATAGATGAGACTTAGAAAGAAGGCCATCATTTGCCCTAAATAGTATAGGAAACTTTTTATGAGAGTTGAAAGGAGGAACACAAGTCGAAGTGTAAGGGGTCTTGTAAGCCAGCCTGTATCTAAGTTTCCCGTTCATACGGCATTAGCAGGGGAATCTCCGAAATTTCCAGGGTCTCTACCCATATCTTGGTGGATTGCAAAGTATGTTAAACGTATGAGATATGTATATATCTCAAAAAATTTGAGAGAGTATCTTGGTGTATTTCTCAGGTCATGGCGGCAAGTCCTGCAGTTATGTTGTTGGAGGGTATGATCTGGTAAGCTGGCAAAGTACATGTAAAGATGGGTGGTATTTGTGTGTAACCAAGGGGATGGGGTGGTGATGGCAGTCACAGCTGGGGACAGGGCAGGAGGTCCTGGTGGAAAGCTGGAGGGTGGAGTGGAAGTTACTAGGGAGTGTGTGACCCTCTCCCCAGGGTGCAAAGGATTCACTCACCTACTGTAGCTGCCTCTTGGAGGAAGCAATACTCTTCATTAATTTTAGAATGGCATTGAGAGTAGTAACTTCGACTAGGTTTTCCTTTAGGCATGGAGGGGAGGGTGCATGTTTTGGCAGAGAGCAAGGAACATACCAGGATCATGGGCCAAGCAGAGAGTAAATTCAGGAAACACAATAGAATTCCTAATTCAAAGGGAGAAAAGCAATAACTGTCCCATGTCCATTTTGTCAACACCTTGGGAGAGGCATTCCATGGGTGTCACTGGGGTGGAGGCTTTAGTGCCCAGGTGATGTATCTTTAAGAGCGATGTCTTGGGCTAGAGTGATGTTATTTAAGGTGATGTCATCTTCAGCTGCAATCTTCTGAGCAATGCCATCTGGGATGTGGGTCTGGGGTATCCTGTGCAACTGCAGAAAGGTGGATGTGATTAAGATCTTGTCTGCAAAGATAGTGTGCAATGGCAAAGCTGTGGAGGTTCCCATGGGTAGCCTAGAGGAGGTAAATTGTGACCTGTTAGAGGTGAAGGCAAACTGTGCTGAAAGGTTGTTGAAAGAGGCAATGAACAGAACACTGTGGCCAAATCTGTAATAATAAAATACCAGTCATTGACTGGGTGTGGCAATTACTTCAATAATACTGAATATTGCATATGGGGCCCTTAATGCATGGATCCACAGCATCAAGGTTGCAGCAATCCACCATCAGGACCCATTTATTTTTTCCTGCTTCCCAAAATTTTGATAAACTTGGACTGTCAAATGGAGAAGCAATAAGGATAATCCTTTTATTAATTAGGTTTTATATAATCAGGTTTTTATTGATACGTAATAGTGTGTACATATGTTGGGGGTAATGTGATATTTTGATACATTCATATGGTGTGTAATAATCAAATCAGGGTAATTAGGATATCACCACCTTAAACATCTATCTTTTCTTTATGCAGAAAACATTCAAATTATTGTCAAAGTTGAAGTATGTTTTGAATTATACAATAGATTATTGTTTACTACAGTCACTCAGCTCATTTATGGAACCCTAAATCTTATTTCTTCTTTCTTTTTTCTTTTTAGAGATGAGGTCTCACTATGTTGCCCAGGCTGGTCTTGAACTCCTGAGCTCAAGCAATCTTCCCACCTTAGCCTCCCAAAATGCTGAGATTATAGGCATAAGCCACTATGTCCAGCATTCCTTCTTTAAAAGAAATTTATGCATGTATGTATGTATTTATCTGCTGGAGGCAGTGCCTCACTCTGTCACACAGGCTGAAGTACGTTGGCGTGATCATAGCTCACCTCAGCCTCAACCTCTTGAGCTCAAGTGATCCTCCCATCTCAGCCTACCAAGTAGCTGGGACTACAGGCGTGTGCCATCATGCTCAGCAAATTTTTTTGTATTTTTTGTAGAGATGAGGTCTTGGTATGTTGCCCAGACTCCTTAAAGCTACATTCCTTCTGAAATTGATTTTTGTGAGTAGTTTAGGATAGATTTCAAGATTTTCTTTTTATGTATGGCTACCTGATTGATCTATCAGCATTCATTTCTTAAATATATTATTAATCACTAATCTACAGTATTTCGTTTGTCACAGATATGCGTTCACATATATATGAGTCTGTTTTTAGGCTCTGTCCTTTTCCATGTGTCTATTTTCTATTCTTGTTTCAACATTACTGCCTTAATTCCTGTAGCTTATATTAAGTCTTTATATCTCTAAGTTAATTTCTTTTATTTAGTTATTTTTCCTTAAGAATATCTTGGCTTTTCTTGGTCCTTTGCACCTCATATAAATTTTAGATCAGATTTTCAATTTTCCTGTCTAAAACCCTGTGGGGAGTTTGACTTATTTGGTGTTAATTTTTAGTTGGATGTCAGACTGCTCCCTTTTTCTGTTTCTGACTTTTATTATTATAATTATGATGTTTCGTAGAGGATGATAGCAGGATTACCAAATATCAGAAAGCAGGGACAGTATTATATATATACATATATATATATATAATGTTAAACATATCCTCAAGAAGAAAGCCCTTTTAGTTAGTTTATAACTGGTTTTCACAATAGATTTCTTGGAATAGCCATGCAGTCAAGATTGGTGGAACAATCTAGTATTTTATGGGAAGCTCCATATCCTGGGAGGAGTGGGGGGAATAGGTGGAGCTCTTAATTGTTTCTGCAGAAACAAACTATGTGAGGGTTCACAAAACTCTCAGGGATCTGTAGACATATTCTCAACGAGTCCAGATTTCTCCATGTTGGTCAGGCTGGTCTTGAACTCCTGATCTCAGGTGATCTGCCTGCCTCGGCCTCGCAAAGTGCTGGGATTACAGGTGTAAGCCACTGCACCCAGCCCGATAATTGATACTATTACTTTAAAACAGAACTACCATTCAACCCAGCAATCCCATTACTCAAAGGGAAATAAACCATTTTGCCAAAAAGACACATACACCTGCATGTTCATCGTAGCACTATTCACAGTAGCAAAGACATGGAATCAACCTAGGTGCCCATCAGTGGTGGACTGGATAAAGAAAATGTAGTACATATATACAATGGAATACTACACAGCCATAAAAAAGAAGGAAATCATCTTTGCAACACCATGCATGCTGCTGCCGGCCATTATCCTAAGTGAGTTAATGCAGGAACAGAAAACCAAATACCACGTATTCTTACTTCAAGTGGAAGCTAAACATTGGGTACTCATGGACATAAAGACAGGAACAGTGGACACTGCGGACTCCTAGATGGGAGAAAGAGGGAAGGGGCAAGGGTTTAAAAACTACCTATTGGGTACTGTGCCTGCTACCTGGGTGATGGGCTCAGAGGTACGCCAAACCTCAGCCTCATGCAATATACCCTTGTAACAAATCTGCACATGTACCCCCTGAATCTAAAATAAAAGTTGAAAATAAATAAAATGAGACTAATATTGTTCAGGCACTGGCTGGGGTTTGACTTTTGGGCTCAGTATCCTTTGGGTTTGGGGAATGATGTGGGCATCATCAGTTGGTCCTGACATGAGCAGCAATGCTCTGGAAGCAAGGTCTTCCCCCAGGAATCTAGGCCATTGATGGTTCTAGGCAGTGAGCAAGGAGATGTCAAGTTATATTTGCCATGCTTTCCAGAAATCTGCTACTGAGCTCCACTCCTGCAGCGTGCCGCCTCTGGTGCTGAGAGTAACCGCCAGGAGGAGAGCCCCATTCAGGGTCTGTACTTTGTGGATTTTAATGGGACTCTTGTATGTTGGTTTTGTTTTTTATTTTTTGAGACAGGGTCTTGCTGTGTCACCCAGGCTGGAGTATGGTGATCATATAGCTCACTGCAACCTCAAACTCCTGGGCTCAAGGGATCCTTCTGCCCCAGCCTCCCAAGTAGCTGGGACTGCAGGTGCACATCACTATGCCTAGCTAATTTTTTTTCAAGATTTTTTTGTTATTATTATACTTTAAGTTCTGGGATACATGTGCAGAACATGCAGGTTTGTTACATAGGTATACACGTGCCATGGTGGTTTGCTGCATCCATCCCCCATCATCTGCATTAGGTATTTCTCCTAATGTTAGTTCTCCCCAATACCCCCACCCTCTGCTATTCCTCCCCTAACTGCCCCCACCCAACTCCCCTGACAGGCCCTGGTATGTGATGTTCCCCTCCCTGTGTCCATGTGTTCTCATTGTTCAACACTCACTTATGAGTAGAACATGTGGTGTTTGGTTTTCTGTTCTTGTGTCAGTTTGCTGAGAATGATGGTTTCCAACTTCATCCATGCCCCTGCAAAGGACATGAACGCATCCTTTTTTTATGGTTGCATAGTATTCCATGGTGTATATGTGCCACATTTTCTTTATCCAGTCTATGTTTGATGGTCATTTGGATTGGTTCCAAGTCTTTGCTATTGTGAACAGTGCTGCAATAAACATACGTGTGCATGTGTCTTTATAGTTGAATGTTTTATAATCCTTTGGGTTTGCTGGGTCAAATGGAATTTCTAGTTTCAGATCCTTGAGGAATCGCCACACTGTCTTCCACAATGGTTGAACTAATTTACACTCCCACAAACAGTGTAAAAGTGTTCCTATTTTTCCACATCCTCTCCAGCATCTGTGGTCTCTACATTTTTTAATGATTGTCATTCTAACTGGCTTGAGATGGTATGTCAATGTGGTTTTGATGTGCATTTCTCTAATGACCAGTGATGATGAGCTTTTTTTCATATGTTTGCTGGCTGGATAAATGTCTTCTTTTGGGAAATGTCTGTTCATAACTTTCACCCACTTTTTGATGGTGTTGTTTTTTTCCTTGTAAATTTGTTTAAATTCTTTGTAGATTCTGGTCATTAGCCCTTTGTCAGGTGGGTAGATTGCAAAATTTTTTCCCCATTCTGTTGGTTACTGGTTCACTCTAATGATAGTTTCTTTTGCTGTGCAGAAGCTCTTACATTTAATTAGATCCCATTTGTCTATTTTGGTTTTTGTTGCCATTGCTTTTGGTGTTTTAGTCACGAAGTCCTTGCCTATGCCTATGTCCTAATTTTTAATGTTTTTGTAGAAATGGGGCCTCACTTTGTTTCCAAAGCTGGTCTTGAACTCCTGAGCTTAGGCAATCCTCCTGCGTTGGCCTCCCAAAGTGCTGTGATTACAGGCATGAGCCACTACACCTGGCCTAATGAAACCGTGCTAAATGAACTGCTTTGTGAGCAGTGATGAATCCACTGCAGAAAAAGTAAATCAGAGCTGGAAGTAGGTCAGGGTCTTCATGCCTTTCAGGGGCCAGATGGACACTGGCTGAGGCAGCGATGAGTCTTCTGTGATGGAAACTGGGTTGTAGAGCTGAGATTTCATCACACAGCACTGGTTTATGAGAACTTGCAGTCTATACAGTAAGGAAGATACGAACTGTCAACTGCAAGTTACTTGCTGAGAATTTTGGGTTTTGGGCTTTCTTTTCTTTTTAGTCAGGGAAAATGAAAGTGAGAGAGAAGGAAAAGAAAGAAACCAATTAGTGGCTGGAAGATCATTAATTATCACACATATTAGGCATGATTCTGGCTCACCTCTTGCTTAAAGTTAGATTAAATTGACATTTTCAATGTTCAAATTGTTAATTTAGTGACATAAGGTCATTCCTTCATACTGTAATTGGAAAACTTTGGGGCAGGACTGTAGGACTTTTGACCCTTATTCCACCCCTTGCCCTGCTCTTCATTGTTCTAAAAAAATGGAGAAACCGGTGGATTGAATGAATACTATTTAAGTTTCCTGAAAGCAGGAATATATTTGTTTTGTTCATGATTGCACTTAGAACAGTGCCTGGAATATAGCTGGTTCTCAATAAATATCGATTGAGTAAATGCTATGTTACACATTGCCTTGCTTTGAACTTCTAAGACAAAACAATACTAATAGCTTTTAAATAATGGTGGCTTCTGGTAAGTGTCATACCAGTTTCCCTTGTAATGTTACATATTTATTTTAAAAGCAACAACTCATTTATGTAGATTCAGTAAAATCAAATGAAAATAAATACTATATTGTGGGCCCAATTCTTTGTGTTCTAGTGATATCAGGCAACCTTAAATTTTAACCATAATTTGGATAAAAGACAACATGTGTAAACATTTCATAAACCAGGTGTGGCTGTTCATCCAGATGTTGCAGGCTTTACCCAAACATTTGAAGCAGTTTAAAAAAAATACAAGCCAAAGAGACAAGGCTTCTCAATACTGGGGCAATGGTGTGCTTCAGAGACCTAGAAAATAGGGGGCTTTGAAGGGCACCCTCCTAGGAAGGAGCCTCTAACTTTTTAGGCATCAGTTTCTGCCTCTGTTGACTCGGAAAGGAGCTCCCAGTGGTGTGACTTGAGCATGTCCCGTGCCCACAGGCCTCCTGAGAAATTGGACTCTGTCTTCTCACTGTCCAGGCCCAAGGAGAAGGTGCTGGGCCAAGGGCAGCTCATTTAGAGGGAGGCCCCATCTTGGGAGAGAAACTGATGCAAGATCTCAGTCCAGCAGGAAGGAGAGTGACTCTGAAGCAATCGGAGGCTTTCTTTGCAGGGATTTGAATTCGAAACGGTAGAGACCAACGGCACTCACTGGTCTGGACAGAAGCAGATGGCAGGCAGAGAAAGCAGTGGTGTAAGTAACAAGTCAGGACAAACCGTGCCCGAGCAGGGGCTGAGGTGGCCAGGGCTCTGTGACAGCAGCCCCCGCTCCCGGAGCAGCACATGCCAGCTTCCGAGGAGACAGCTGGCGTTGCATGTCAGAGCTGCTGTTGAAACTGCCCTGGGCTGTCTGTGAATGACCTTCCTTTCAGGCCCCAACGCCTGCTGAGGCTCCCTCTGTTCTTTCCCTCCTATCTCCTTGGCTAACCTGGAAGAGCCTAATTAACACACGTGTAAATTAAGCTCTCCTCTGGCTCCGTATTCTAGAATTACACCGAGAAAGCTCATTAATTCAGACCACTTCTTCCAAATGTTTAATTATTCAATTTGGACTAAGCTGGAGTTTATTTTGTTCAACAAAATTTTATTATAGATAGCTCAAATTGAAAAGAGAGGGGGCAAAGGAATTACTTAAAATATATAAGGGAACATGCTCTTAATTTAACATGGTCATTTTAAACTATTAAAAATTCATGACACAAGGAACTTCAGTTAGGTAAAATGAATAGAATCGTTAAGCTTTTTGCTTTGTCTCATCTCAGCCAATATTTATTGTCCTTTGTTTGGGCCAGGCTGTGTGCTAAGTTCCAGAACACAACACTGAATCAATTAAATAGGCATGATACTGTAGGTTAATTTAAAAATAAAAATGCAACATAAGAAATATCTTGAAGTATTATTTTATACCACCTCCCCAAACACATCTATATGTATACACATATACAAATATACATACATGCATATGTATGTGGGGGAGGAAAAAAGGAAGGAAGGGATTTTGGGAGGGAAAGGAGGGAGGGAGGGAAGGAGGGAGGGAGGGAGGGAGGGAGGGAGGAAGGAAGGAAGGGACAAAGAGCCTTGCTTTGAAGCAGATGGTGGGGGAGGCGGATGAGTGTGTGAGGGATCTCACTGCTGTGATGCACGCTGAGCCAGAGGTGTGTGCAGGATGTGTCACCGGGCGCTGAAGAGGAGATTCTCAGCCATCCTAGGAGAGAGTCCAGAGAGACGTCCTGGGGTTCTCACTGGGTCTGAGGCTTAAAGGATGGATCTTGGTGACCAGATAGAGAGGAAAGGGCACCCCAGGAAAAGCATCCTCAGGCAACTAAAGAGAGTTCAAAAGGACTGGAGCTCCCGGAATAAGGACAGTGGGAAGCACAGCTGATTCTTGTTATTCGAGGTAATTACGTTCTGTAAACAAACATACCTCAAACCCTGACCTAGCGAATACTGAGCTATTTCTCCCGGAGAAAGTGCAGGTTAGGTTCTATGAGCCTCTGGTCACATTTTCATCAGCTGAAACACCGTCTGTGTTACATAGGTTTGTTTATTAACATCCTAGTAGAATACGCAGGTCTCATCAGCATTGCGAACCTGCCCTTCCACATAACCCTTTCCCTGCATGGCTCTCAGAGGGTGTTTTCACAATTCCTCTGCAGCCCCCTGATCTGCAGACCCTGCCTTGACAGCAGGTTTAACCTTTTTCATGTTGTATCACCATCTGGAACATGCAGGCCAGTCAGCACTAGCTGAGAGGGGCTTAACATTTTTCTAACTGTAAACTTCTTTGGATTTCAGACTCACAACAATGTTGCTACCACACTTGTTTGAAAAAAAATCACTTACTGTCAGTCTTGGCTTTGCTATAAAGGAATATCTAGGCTGGGTAATTTACAAAGAAAAGAGGTTTATTTGGCTCTTGGTTCTGCAGGCTGTACAGGAAGCATGGTGCCAGCATCTGCTTCTGCTGAGGGGTTCAGGCTGCTTCTGCTCACGGCAGAAGGCGCTGGGGAGCCGGTGAATCACATGGCAAGAGAGGAAGCAAGAAAGAGGTGCCAGGCTCTTTTTATCAGTTCTCATGGGAACTCAAAGGAGCAAAAACTCATTCATTACTGCAAGGATGACTCCAAGCCTTTCTTAAGGGACCAGACTCCATGACCCAAACACCACCCACCAGGCCCCACCTCCCACACTGGAGATCACATTTCAACATGAGATTTGGATAGGACAAACATCCAAACTGTATCAGACATCATCTCACAAATCCAGAAATTTAGCTGCTTTTCCTTCTTTCCTGTAGTTTCACCACTTACAATAGAAACACTTTCTCTCTCTCTCTTTTTTTCTCTTGAGATGGAGTCTCACTCTGTCGCCAGGCTGGAGTGCAGTAGTTTGATCTCAGCTCACTGCAACCTCCACCTCCCGGACTCAAGCGATTCTCCTGCCTCAGCCTCCCAAGTAGCTGGAACTACAGGCACATGACACCACACCCAGCTAATTTTTGTATTTTTAGTAGAGACGGGGTCTCACCATGTTGGCCAGGATGCTCTCAATCTCCTGACCTCATGACCCACCCTCCTCGGCCTCCCAAAGTGCTGCGATTACAGGTGTGAGCCACCGCACCTGGCTCAGAAGCACTTTCTAGAGGGGCCCGTTGAAGTGGATTTCCTCTTCCATTGCCTCGAGGTACCTGGCTGTTGATTCATTAACACTGAACTTACTGCCAACAGCACTGCCACTCACGCTGAAGGCGGCTCATCCAGCACAGGTTCTGTCTCCATAGGCACATCGCAGCCTCCCGCATTCAGAGACAGTAAACAGTACTTCAGCACCATGCCTGGGGGCATTTTACACAGCAAAATCACCAACAAAAGCACAAAAATGCAAAGGACGGCTTCGGATAGACAGCAGGAAGGACCACTTGTTTACAGTAGGAGAGCTGGGACAAGAAGGCAGAGGGGTCGCCTTGCTTCGCCTCAGCTGGGAACAGGTGCCTTGGACCACTCAGATTCTCCCCCTTCTCTGTACCTGTGAAGCCACAAGTATTGACTTGGTTTACAAACACATTTTAGTGAAGAGGTGAATTTGCAGGTATGGAATCCACAAATAATGAGATCAGACTGTAAGACTGGAGACCAAGGTAGAGGCTGCTGCCAAGCGAAAGGCTGGCCCTTGTCCCAGAAGCTGTAGACTGCCACCGGAGAGTTTTAAGCAAGGGAGTGGCTTGATCTGTGTTGTAGAAACAGCACCTTCTCTCAACATAAAGTGGCTTGAAGAGAGGAAGATGAAAGGTTAAGAGAAGGATGTATCCAGGGGAGGATGAGGGATGATCGCAGCCAGGGGTAGAGGTGTTCTGAGGAGCTGACCTGAGCGATCTGTCTGTCTCAGGTCCTGGCTATGGGGCGGCATCAGTGGCGAGGGGGCGGCATTAAGGACAGCACCATCGTCCCCCACTGGGCACATCCTGGGGCGTAGGGCGGTGATCAAGGACCCTAGCCTTGGAGTTAGACACTGCTGATTTTAAATCCAGCCTCCACCAATGGCGGGCTGTGTGGCTTAGACATGCTCCTCCCCTTCCCTAAACCTCCGTTGTTTAATCTCTAGTATAAAGATTCCATGTGCCAGGAAGAACACACCGCTGGAGTTATTCTGAGATTGAAATGAGTGCTGGTGCTTTTCACCTAAACAGGGAAATGGGGAAGAAGCAGTATGTGGGGTGGGAGGGAGAAGGAGAGGAGGCTGTCCAGGCGTGGGGAGTTGGACGTGCCTGTGGACGCCCCGCGGACAAATATCCTGAGGCCGCCTGATGTTTCCTGGGGCCGGGGCGGGGAAGCTGGGGTGGAGACACAGACTTGGGCATTACCAGCGGGCAGGAGGCTGCTGCCGCCAGGAAGAGTGGGCAGTGCCAAGATCAGAGGGCCGGGGTGAAGCCTGCACTATTCCCACGTTTCAGAAGAGGCTGGGAAGGAGGTCAGGGAAGAGCACCAGGAGGAGGAGGCGGAAAAGCAGGAGGGTGTGGACAGATGGGAGGTGGGAGGAGGAATCCCAGGAGGGAGTGGCTGGGGTGACTGTTCTGAAAGCAGGGCCTGGAAACCGCAGCAGGTCTGGGCCGCAAGGAACCCGAGAGGTCTTTTAGTCTAATCCTCTTTTAGTCTCCATCCCCATCCGGATGAAGACATCGAGATTCAAAAGTAAAGTCGGTTG